GTAAATGTTCAAAGTGACCACCATTCATTTCAATTCAGACATCTGCTCTTCTTCACCAAAATCTGCGTACCCTGTGGAATATCCTTGGTGTTGTCCGAATTTGATTGGAACAGTCAATAATGCGTTTCCGTAGTTGCTCTTCAGTATTAATCGGTACTGAGTAAACCATAGCTTTGTTATTTCGTTTTTTAAGGCAATAAGATGTTTTAAAAATAATAAAATTTTGATTTTTCAATTAATTATTTGATAGCTAATTGGTTACTTTTGAACCGCCAACCAAGTTTATGTTGATTAACCAGTTATCAACCCATCAGAGCAAACTCTTTGCCTTCAATTTTCTCGAAAACCATCACTCTGGGCGATGTGCAACAAGAGTACCTTTTTTTGTAGAAAAAAGTATGTAGTTTTCAAAAAATGATCCCACGTTGTAAAAAAAATAACCTCAAAAAAGTTATTCGCGAAACAACCCCCTACCCTTGCAAAATCTACCCTTTCCGCTTTTCCAAATAATTTTTCAGTATCACCATTTGATTTAGCCTACAATTTCAAAACGAACGTATTTTAAATTCACCCTTTCAGTGCCCCTAGCTCCCTTAATATGCATTTTCCGCCTTATACTTATAGGAACTTTTTTTATTATTTTTAGTAGTACTATCACCCCCCGATTTTTTTACACCATTTCAATGACACCCTGTATACTAGTTGTTTATGATATTCTCCGATCCTGGCAGCACTGGCAAAGAATGCACGAAGCCTATATACGCTCACAAAAAAGCGGTCACCTTAAAATTTTGATGTATTTTAAAGTTATATAAATATAATATAATTTAACAGACAGTCTAAAAGAGAGACAACGTCAGTCAAAGAAATTATTTTATTTCAAGGTCAAGGAGGCAGACTTAAATTCAAATATACATAAATTAATATTAATATTAATATTAAAATAAAACACAACGTGAACTATTCAAATGAGCTTTGTTTCGTTATCCCGTCCTCAATCATAATCGCTACAGACTAAAACAAACCCCAGACACCACGGGGGGCAATTCTGATGCCGTATCCAGGGGTGTTACTACTTTTATATACATATATGCATAACAATCCGGGCTACTGGAGACCCTCCACAAACCCAGATAATCCCCGTGACGGTAGTGGGAGCGGTGGTAACGAGACGCACGGACGTTCCCCTTTTATCTCGCTGTTCTCTTTTGCGCCCCCATCCCCTGTTTGACATGTTTTCTTCGGTTTAGCCGTGTTTCGGCGACACTAGGCCTGATGCATGGAGACAAGTTGGAATTCTGGTGGTTTCTTTTAAACGGAATAGGCTGGAAAAAAGCCGAAAAACTGTGACATGTAGGTTAGAGATAAAATTGATAGGATGAGATAAAATTGGTTGTGTTTTTTTGAAGTATCATTCAAAAAACCTTTGCAAATTCGTGTGATACAAACATCGATTTTTACTTTTGTGCCGCTTTTGTTTGTATCAATACTAAACAACAGGGCCGGATCTACCTACGGGCTGTTTGGGCTGCAGCCCAGGGCCCCGAGGTTAAAAAACAATAGACCCATAGGTGGGAACTGTTGAATCGTGAAATAAAATTAAAATTCAGGTTAAAAGTTTAAGCCAGACAAGATGGCCTTGCCACTATGATGCTGTCAAAGCCTTAAAAAATAATTATGATGACATTATGAAAATTTTCAAAATTTTCAGCGAAAATGAGGTTGAGAAAGTTGATTTCGGAAAGAGGCACGAGAATTTATTCAATAAAATGGCAAACTCGAGACTGCAATTTTGATTATCTTTTGGGAAGAAGTTTTGGAGAGATTTCATTTAGTTAATAAAAAAATACAGAGCCCTGGTTTAGACATTTGTGAAGGCAACAAGTTAATTGTTTCTTTAAAAGACTTTGTGAGCAACATACGACATCAATCAGATCAAATGTTACAGGAATACGACGAAAAAGCTAAAAAATTAAGTACTAGTGTAATAATAGACTAAATTACATAAACAAGAGATGCATTATCCCAAAATTTTCAGATAAGTCTACAGGTGAATTCTCAGTATACGGCGCAGAAAGATTTAAAGAGACACGTTAAAAGTTGCGTTGGATAAGCTGATTATGGATTTAAATAAAAGGAGACAAGTCTATGAGACATATAGCAAGAAATTCAAATTTTTAATGGATTTGCAAGACAAAAATATCGAAAACATAGATTTGGAAATTACACTTCATATTATTGATTACAATCCCGATGACGTAGACGAGCATTTAGTGAATGAGTGCATTCAATTAAAATCATACTTACTCCAATCTATGTCTGAGTCTTACACCTCTTGCAGTGACATTTTTATGCTCATGTATGAAAATAAACTTATTAACGTGTTCCCTAACTGCTATACCATTTTAAAGATTTTTTTAACATTGCCAATCACTAGCTGTAAAGCAGAACGCTCCTTCTCCAAGATGTCCTATGTAGAAAATAAATATAGGACAACAATGTCTAACCATCGACTAAATAGTTTATCACTTCTTTCCATAAATTGTGATCTAACAAAAGACTTGGAATGTGATGACCAAATAACTGTCAATTTCTGTGACTACAACCTATCAATTTCTTTTACTAATTCCTAATAAGTAAATAAATAAAATTGTTTTATTGTTTTTTTATATTCTTATAAAATATCACTATTTCGGTTTCTCTCTCACCCAAAGTTTGCCTGGAAGAGATTGCTACCACAGCAATAAGGTCGCCTTTTGCACAACTAATACTTGCGTAGATTTAAGTAACATTTATGTTACTTAAATCCACATATCACAAATACCGAAGTCTACAGCAGAATAGGCAGAGAAAGAGAATTGCTCAATATAATAAAAATTAAAAAAAAACATCATACTTAGGGCATATATTGAGAAATGAAAAATACCACGTCTTACAATTGACAGTTAAGGGTAAGATTGAAGGAAAGAGAGGTCTCGGCAGGAAGAAACTATCTTGGTTGAGAAACATCAGAAACTGGACTCAAATAACTTTTGAAGAACTCATAAGGAAAGCCGAGAATCGCGAAGATTTTGCCAATGTGATCGCCAACCTCCACGAAAGAGACGGCACGTAAAGAAGAAGAATAATAATATATCATTATAGAAACAGTTTTTTGATATGGCTATTAGTTGAGTACTTATGTAGGCCCCTAAGTAGTTTCAGCCCAGGGCCCCACAAATTCTCGATCCGCCCCTGCTAAACAACATACTTACCATAACAACAAGCAACAATCTTTAATTCGAGTTTTAAAAATAATGCTTGCTGCTATTTTTTCTTTTGAAATTTTAGCTAAATATACAGGGTGGTCGGAACTGTATTCCGGAAACTTCGGCAGCATATTCTGCAGATAAAAATAAGTAAAAAATTTCGTATAAATATATGTCCTAAAATGCTTAGTTTCGGAGATACAGGGTGTAGAAGGTTCATTTTTATTTCGAATTTTTCCAAATAATTTCTGAAGTAATGCCAATATTTGGATGAAAATTGGTGTCTGGAAGTTTTTTGACATGAGAAATTTGATTTTGATGTCAATATGACTCCTACTTGTAGAGGGCGCCACCTACATATTTTTTAACTGGTTTGAAGAGTAATAATTTTTCGTCCGTACCTGTATAAAACTACTGAGTAAAAAAATATACATTTGCGACGTTTTTTACGTAAAAAAAGTCTCTTGGAAAAAATCGCTACGAGTAATGGTTCTCGAGATATTTGGAATCGAAATTATCAATACCTGACATAAATTCAACATGTTGACTAAATAGTTATTAGACTGAAATCATAAATTTGAAATGTTTTTGTGTCAAAAGTTCAACAGAAACTGTTTTATCATCATTTTTTTGGCAGAAAAATGTATGATTAATAAAAAAAAATAAAAATTTTCCAAATTTATTTTTTTTTCAATCAAATAACTACCTACCACCTACTCAACGTGTTTATTTTTTGTCAATAATGACATGTTTTGACTATTTCCATTCAAAATATCTTGAGAACGGTTGCTCGTAGCAATTTTTAAAGACATTTTTTACGTAAAAAGTCACGGAAATGTATATTTTTTACTCAGTAGTTTTATACAGGTACGGACGAAAAGTTATTACTCTACAAACCAGTTAAAAATATGTAGGTGGCGCCCTCTACAAGTAGGAGTCACACTGACATCAAAATCCAATTTATTATCATGTAAAAAAACTCCCAGATACCAATTTTCAACCAAATATTGAAGTTACTTTATAAATTAGTTGAAAAAAATCGAAATAAAAACGAAACTTCTACACACTGTATCTCCGAAACTAAGAATTTTGCCCTAATTATTTCGTATTGCTTATACATGTGGATAAAACGTTGTATTACATTCGTGATTTAGTTGCATTTGATCCAATTAAGAAATTTAAACATTCTTGCATTAGATACAATCGCTCTAATTTTCTTGTTTCTACGTCACTGTTTCCGAATTTTTACGACTCCCCTCGCAGAAGTGTTGTTATTCGGGCAGATCGAGTGTCCCTGAGGACCTGCGAGGAACGCCAAGAGGTTTTTCGTCCCTTTCAGCTTTCTCAAGTAGCCAGAAATACGAAGCTGAGGGATAAGAAAAAGAAAAACAAATTCGTTTTTCGATTCCGAAAAGACAAGTAAGTCATCTCGCTGCGAGGAGATAAGGAACGTTGGTTTAGCAAACGATAGCAAATCAAAATGGTTTAGTGTTAGTGTTGATTCACACTAGCCAGTAGCGGTTTTTCAAATTTTTTTCAAACTTTCTCTTATTAAATCTTTATTTTTTCAAACGCCACAAAAGTAATAGTTTTTGCGACGTAATTGATAATAAATAATTGATAAACACACGCGTGAGTTTTTGAAGTTATAATAAAGTAGTGTGTTAACTTCAAAGCCACACCGTTTTATAGAAATTATTAAGCTTTATTTATAAATTACCTAACATTAAATAAAAATGATTTTTTTTGTAGATTCAGAAATTGTAAAACGTTGTATGCCTCCAGATGCTGTCCCTCCACTGCTTGAAATAGGCTCTATCATTACAACGGCTCGTTCTGGAACACTTACAGCACCTTGAATCTGTTTCGCAGCCTCTATTTTATTGTTGATGGACTCTTCGATATATCCTCCCGCAACCGTTGCAGATCGCCATCCTCCCTGTCTTTTTAACGTTGTCATGTCCACTCCTGCATTTGCCAGTAATGTAGCGGATGATCTTCTCATAGAATGGCCAGTGTCGTGCCAGTGTATTGCTCAGGATGTTGTAGGTCCAAGTACCTGCGGAAGCTCTTCCTGAATCATTTTTGTTTAAAATCTGACTTGCTGGTTGATAATTCACTATTTTATCGTTAAAAAATCGCGATTTATCTAAATGAAGTCTTAATGTCAGTACTATTTATTATAAATAATAGCAGAATTTTAAAATATATCTTTATTTTCGAGAAAATTTTGTCCAAACATAAGGAATATTTTGTTGATGTTTGACCATCAAAATCTTACAAATAAAGAAGTTGTCTAAAATGTGCTACAATACGGATACAGTATAATCCTTTATCTTTAATTTTCTTCTTCATTTGTGTAAAAATACCTAGCCAGTTTTACATAAAACATTAAATGCCGAACGCTTATTTCGCTACTTTTTCGGCCTAGTGAAATGAATACAATAAACCTGATATGTGATTGACGAACGAAGCCATGTGTCAATTTTGTCAAGCTGAAGAAGAAGCTCATTGAATTACACTGTATATAAAACTTCTATAATACTAAATCACCCAAACTGACACTTTCTAACATATCAATAAAACCGAAAAAGTATTACGGTCACTTTTCCATAAATTCGCTCCAAAAATGTATCCGAAAAACCTCTGGATCGACTCGAAGGCAATTTTCTCGATCGCATCCAGGGTCCAGGTTCGAAAGCCGAACAAATCTGGTAATTTCCCCGATCCATGTTCCATTTATCGTCGCTTTTGTCCAGCAAATCTGCCGATCTGGCAACACGCCCAATCCTGAAGGGGATTTATCCAGAAAGAAAGGCATCAATCACCTTCTGGAAAGACAAGAAGCTAGTTGTACGGTCAGTATCCAATTTGGGGATGAACAGTTTCTTTTGGCATAGGCATATACTGGGTTATGCATCAGCTCAGAATATAGGAAATTCATGTGAATTTTAAGGGTGTCGATTATTGGTACCCCTATTGATTTTAGGAGAAACATGGGACTTTTTAAAGTACTGGATTAGATCAGGCTATACCTATCAACTTTAAAACTCTTCGGCTAAGCTGTTTTTAAATGCTTTGCAAAATTAGGTCTTTAAAAAAAGTAATTGGTACAACGATAAAACACTCCGGCTACCAGTAATACCGTCATAAGACTCAAAGAGTCATACCGACATAAAAAAAAATTAAAAAATAAATTAATAATTAATATTTTATTTTTATTTTTTTATGCCTTGGACCGACCTGCATATTAAATTTAATGAGGTTTTTTAAAATTCTCGACTCGGAACTTTTAATATAAACAACATCCTGCTGCTGGTGGGATCAAATCCCACAAGGATAATCCCTCCTAATCCTGCAGGTATCGATTTTACGACAGGAAACAACGGGACACTAGGTCACAAACCGGGGGTTCCCAAGGGAGCGCTGCACGCACAGCTAAGGGGGGTTGGATCAAAATTTAAACCAACAAAAGCTATATTCTGCGCACACATAAATAAAGTTTATAATGCTTTATATGAAGACTTAACAAACAAACTAAACGTTTAAAAATTATATTTTTTATTGATATACAGGGTGTTTGTATCTTGTAGATTGTATGGGAGGAGGGAGTTAATTATGGAACACCAAGAAAAACCTTTGATTTTTCTCGGTCGTTAGTCCTGAGAAATTTCTTCGAGTGTCTTCGACCGGTTGGAGGATTCCAATTCTACATGACAGATGGAGTCTTAATTCGATTACTATTTTACATCAGATCTCACAATTTTTTGAAGAACAACAAAAACTGCGTTGCGAGATTTGACAAGCAAAAGTTAACGCGTTATCTACTTTTATAATTTTAGAGAAAAAAAAAATACTAAAAATTCCAAAAAAGTTATAAATACAGAAGACAAAAAGTAGCATTTCATTTCTTTCGATTGAAGCAAAAAATAGGCTCAATTTCCGGTTTGTTTTCCATCAAAATTTTCCTAATTTCGTTCCTTTTTCCCTGCTGATAAAAACACTAACGGGTATTATTCCTTGCCGCGGTAATCTTTAACGTTAGCAGAAAGCGTTCCAGGCCCGGGTAAATCTAATTTGGCACCCCTCCCTGTTCCAAGCTTCTCGCTGGAAAGTTTTTACCGGCGTTTCCCGAGGGATTTTCCAGTGGAAATGGAACGGAGAGAAAATCCCAGGAATAAGAAAAGCTGGAAAAACTGGGAAGTATAAAACGTTACCATTTCAGTACAATATATAAATTCAAAACATCTAGATAAAGACAGATAAAAATAAATAATACTTCTACGCTAATTGAAACAACTAACTTATTCCACTAATTGCGAGGTTCTGAATGAAGCTTAAGAACTAAAATTAATTAAAATATGGACAAACCTAATTGAAAAAAAATGATTGTACTAAAAAAAAAGGTTTTTTTTGCGGTGCGAAGACGAATTCAATAACTCAGAGACTACTAAAATCACTATATCCATTATTAATTTTTTTCTCAACAAATATACAGGGTGAGTCTTAAATAAGTGCAAATATTTTAAGGGGTCGTATATTTCGATCCCAGGAACACGATGAAAAGGTTGTTTTCGCGAAAATTTTGATTTTTTTTTGAAAACTTGTTTAGCTTTTAATTAAAAAACATAATTCCTTGATAATATGGCAATAGATGTAGTAAATTAAATTTACATGAAAGAAAATCCAGAAAAAATATAGTGGTTCTCAAAATTTAAGCAAAAAATAAAATATCTCTCTGGATTGATTTGAAAAACGGTAAAGAGAAAATTGGTTTCTTTTATCGAGGTCTGCCAGCACTAAAAATATTTGCTCTTATTTAAGACTCGCCCTCACAGGAGCCATGAGAACCTGTCCAACAGCAGCAATGGAGGTCATTCTAGATCTAACACCACTGCACATTGTCATTGGTAGATATGCCAATGCGACAATGATTAGAATGGTCACTAACGGAATTAGTACTGGGAGAATTGTCAGATCAGGGGCTTGGAACACCCTCAAAAGATACCAATTCTGCAACTCCCAGTGGACGATATGCCAAGAACGTACAACTTTGACAAACATGTCAATGTAGTATTGAGCAATAAGAAGGATTGGAAGAGCGAAACGCTTGCCCAGCAAAAGACCATACCATAACTTGGTATACTGATGCTTCCAAAACCAATACGGGAACAGGGATCGGAGTGTTTGGGCCGAGAGCTAATTACTCCGAACCAATGGGCACTTACCCTAGTATCCAACAGGCAGAAATCTACGCTATCGAGAGATGCGTACAACTTATCTTAGATAGGAACTATCGGAAACAAGAAATAGCCATCTTGTCTGATAGTCAAGCAGCGTTAAAGGCGATCAACTCAGTATCAATCAATTCGAAATTGGTCAAAGAATGCATAGAGAAGCTGAATAAATTAGGCAAAGAAAACAAAGTCCTCCTACACTGGGTGCCTGCTCACCAAGGGATAGAAGGCAATGAAAAAGCAAATAATCTAGCTAGGAAAGCAGCGAACACTCCACTAACTGAACCAGAACCGTTCTGCTTTCCAAGTGGTAACCAACTCAAGGCGGAACTCAAGAACTTGGAAGATTCCATCCGCAACCTGGAATGGAAATTTTCCAATGGTCTAAGACACTCGAAGAAGTTTCTGAGGGCTTATGATGAAGAAAAATCACAGATCTTCCTGGGTCTGAGTAAGAACAATCTTCGGATTGTCACGGGGTTTTTAACAGGACACTGTCTCCTCAACGAACACCTCAGTAGATTGAAACTAAGAAGAAACGGCGAATGCAGATTCTGTGGGGAAGATGGGGAAACACCAGTACACCTCATCACTGAGTGCGCCGAGATGACAACCATTCGTGCCATGAATTTTGGTACGACTGATATTGGAGATGGAGAACTACCCTCTATAAAACCGTCCCAGATACTGGCTTTTGTCAAAGCCCTGGGACTGTATGATGAGTTATGATTCAAGAAAGGGGGACACAATGGATCTGTAAGGTCGAAGTGATTAACCCCCCTCCCACTCATTCTAAATTCTAAATTCTAAGACTCGCCCTGTATATGAATGTATATCCGAAGTTACAACAAGATAGACCTAAAATATATATTCCTTTACTTTTTCTTCGGAGGAATGTCTCGGAGAAAGCAATATTTTCGTATTACCGGGTGGAAATTCATGTTTCCCGAAGCGACTATTAAACCTAGAACCGTTCCCCTACTTTTCCCATAAACAGTAATAGTGTCTGGGCTATTACGCCCAGCTCTCCCCTACGAGGAGACCCGTCACTCCCTCTTAGAAACGACATGTGTAAAACTTCATTCTATCTCACATGAAATAGTGTTATAGATGTGGGGAAATAAATATAGAGAAATGTGGCAATATTTTTATCTGTAGGCGATATTCCAATCTTCTTCTTACAGTGCCATACTATATACCTATATAGAGCGCCGGCTACCTCTCGCATGTACTTGAGATGTGTGTCAGTTTATTGCCGAATCCGAACGGCACTATTTGAGAGGCTGTAACAAGGCAAATATACTCAAGGTGGTTTGCCATAGCCTTCCTTGAGGTGGCGATCAACTCAGCTCAGTAACCATTAATTCGAAGTTGGTCAAAGAATGTCTGGAGAAGCTGAACTAATCTAAAAACCAAATACGTTTAAATTACCTATACGGAGGGTACCGCTTAAATTCTTGTCCCGATGTTAAAGGATGGCTATAGAATGTCAATGCATTTCCTACATAAGTCTATCCTTGGTGGTAGGAGGTTTGACTAAACAAGGATGAACTTATGTCTTGAAACCATTCGACTCGATTTTCTGTCCTCCTTCAATATTGGGACATAAATTCTCTCATTGA